TTACTAACACATTGTGTACAGCCCCCCTGTTCGTTTGTATCAATGTTAATCGAAGTCGTTGCTTGTTTTTTCATTAATAAATCGTAGCTAGTGTTGGGATAGCCGATGTTAAAAGTAGGTACTGTCAAGTGAAAATGGAATATTGGTCCAGATTTGATTTAACAAGTTAGAATGTTTCATTTTGATAGAAAATAAAAACGAAGGAATTTCTAGTCATTAACTTTGAGACAGTGATGAGTCGGGACCTCGGTTTCGTTTTAAGGGCGTTTTTCCACCGCTGAATGTGGGGTTTTCGCAATGAATCTCGTGAAAAGGTTTTTTTTTCAAGCTTTTTTTAGGGTCTAGGCTTCTGTTAGGAAACTGAGTACGAAATTGAGTAGTATTTTATCTGAAGGATGCTGAAATATCGTTGCATTTCAGTGGGTAAGTTCAGTGCGGTTTTTGAAAGAAATGGGTTGGCAAAACAGAGTATGAAATGTTCTTTATTTTCTTGAGGAACACAAATTAAACGTGAAATGTATGAACAGAGAAGTGAGGTAAATCTGAAGTGTTTGGGGCCAGTTTATATGTTTTTCAGCAGTCGGTGCTCTTACCTACTAAGAGTATTATTTGTGATTTGTGGTATGCTTTATAGTGTGTGTTTGTGTGCGTGCGTGTGTGTGTTTACACATACTCATCTTGCATTTCTGGAAGGTCATGTGTCCAAATTCCTCGGTTGCCGAATAATCGTATTGCTTGTGGGCCCTTGAGCAAGGCCCTTATGCCTATACCCATTTGCTCCAGGGATGCTGGCTGTCCTCTTCTAGAAATGTATGTTGCTTTTGGACTAACTGAGTAGAGGTGCATGAGATATCATTGTGGCCTGAGTATCTGTTAAAAATCAAAATATTGACATCCGTCCAATGTGTCAACCTTGATATAAAGATATTGCTGGCTGACATTTAACCTTTGTCAAAATTCAAAGTGAGCACCACCAGAGCTTCGTACGGCCCTTTGACATGTTTTTAAATCGTTATTAAATCGAGCCGGCGGATTGATCTTTCCTTATCCACAGAACAAAAAAAATGATGTAATGTCTAATCTGTGCTGATGGCAACCTCAGCAAGTACACCACCGGAATCCCCGCCCCCCCACCCTTACTCAGCGAATTAATCAGAAGTTAGCCAGTTATCATTTTTCAGGTATTACATGGTTATCAACAGGGGTGTGCAGTAAGGGCATGGCAGATTCAGGGGGCCCAGCACTTTACAGGAATACATAAAATATGTAAAAGTGGGTGGGGGGGGTGTGATAACATTTCATAATGGAGCCCAGAATTCCTAGCCACACCCCTGGTTATTGGTATCGGTCAAATTTTCACATCAGTGCCCCGTTTGTTTGTCTGATTATTTGTTTGTTTCGTCACTTTGAAATATGTAATTGAGGCTTTACTTAGTCAGTGTGTATCAGTAGCTTAAGCACCAAGTTCCAGAGTCGTTGGTGGAATTAAAGGTCGTCACTGCACAGCGCAGACGGAGTGGAATGTTCTCGCAGTCGAAGTGGGCTTGGCCTGCCGTCATGTTTATTGCATAAAGTGGGCGGAAACGGAGTTTCGCCAGCTGTGCATCTAAGGTGAAGGAAGGCATGTAAAGCCTTCACTATGACTCTGCTGGGAGTAATCCTAGTGGGTATGTCCATAGATGGGCAGGTGCTTGCTCAGGAATTTCCTCATCTGCACTCCTCTGTCTGCCCTCCTACTTGGGAGGTGGCATGTCATGCTATCACGCCATGCACTGCTGTTTATTTCTTCTTGCTTTTCCACTCCAAACAGAGGCAGAGAGCTTGACAGGGGGGGGATGTTTGATGACAGAGGACAGAAGATGCTGCAGTGTGCCAAAGCACCCATACTAACAACAACCTGTCCTCAAGTGAACTGCTTTTTGGCTAAATAACACCTTGTGTGTGCGTGTCACGAGTGGCCCGTAGGTCTGTCAAAAGTAAACACTGCAAGCACTGCATGCATTGTCACCTGGGATCCTTGTCAACAATGGAACGTTGAACTTTTAATTTGAGAGTACAGCTTTTATTTCAGATATGGAGTGCAGTGACATTTCAGTGCGGGCTCTGACATTGTGTTGTATTTGTCTTTGGGTTCGCACGGATTAATGAATTCTTGTTTCGAGCATTTATTTTTTCCTGAATTCAAGCCTCGCTCCACAAAAGACAAAGTGTTGCGGTTTAGTTATTTTGGAGCGGCACTGAGGATGGTGGTGGTGATGATTTTAAGGGTGTGACCTGTGCCTTCATTACATTAGCATTATCCCTGTTCAGCCAGTGGGACATTTTGTCTTCCAGTTCCAAGTCACTCCCTTCATGTGTCAGGGCTTGGGAGAGGTGAGACTGTCGGCAGGCCTTGCCTCTTCAAGCCTTTCCAACCTTTGACTGCGAGAGGAGATGAAACGCAGCACGTAAAGTCTGACGGAGAAGGGGCAGCTTTCTCTGGCTACCCTACATGCTAATCCCCCCCCCCCCCATCTGCGCCAATCACGCAGACGCAAAGAATCGCTTCCCTTGACTCACTTATGCAAACACTCTTTCATGTATACACTGCATACAGTGCAAACCACAGTATGCATAACTTAAGCGTTCTCACACACGCTAACCAAATCCACACTGGGTGAAGCTGCGCCGCACTCCAAGGCTTCATCGCCCTACGGGCCAAGCAGCCCTCTGTCGTCTCCCCCCCCCCCATTTTCCCACAGTCCTGCTGCGCGTGTTGACACGCCTGCCTGGACAGGTAATTAATAATTAAGCTTGGTTTGCTCGCTGTCAGCATTTTACGTAAGCACTCTTACGCAACACAATATTTTTCATACTAATCCCCCTCACCCTGGATTGTTGAAGCAAGTGTCTCTGCCAGCTCCATTGTTCACCTTTCATTTTAGTACAATTGAACATGCTTTTTGTTTACTTGTAAAAACTTTGTGTTTACCTACCCATTCCTGTTCTTGTCACTGGCCAAATGTTTCAGTTCTGAGTAATATATGCCATGGTATGTTTATTATTATTATTATTTTTAATTGTGTGGTTAAATTATAAGTGTTGCCATTCAGATACAATTAAAAAGCACTTTTCAAAGCATTCATACACTATGTGGATTTCTAGAACATGCCCTTACCAAAGGATTTAACTGCAATAAAATGCAGCCACATCATGAATCCACAGTGAACTCTGTGCCCTACCCATAATGCCTTGGCATCCTGATAGTGTTTCATTTTGTTGGTATGGTGGCTCATCAGGTAGCACTGTTGCCTTGTACCTCCATGGTTAAGGGCTCAGATCCTGTCTGTGCTGGGTATGGAGTTGAATGTTCTGTGTGTGTTATGTGGGTTTCCTCCTGTAGTTGACAGTTAGGCTCTTTGGTGCTGGTGGGTAGGGACTCGGATTGGAAGGTAGCTGGTTCAAATCCCAGCACCAACAGAGTGATTTTACTGTTGAGCTCCAGGGACTGTCTGACTCTGCTTTATCAAAACAGTTTTTGTCATTTTAGATGAAAGTGTCTGCTAAATAAGTAAAATGTTATGTGCTTTTGTCTCTCTGACACAAAGATACACACAATGCACCTATCGGTGGACAAAAAAAATTGAAGTAACTGAAGCTGAAAGCCTTGTGTTGTCTGTCCAGATTTTTTTCATAGCCCTGACAGAACAACCCCCATTCCTGTCATGATGTTATTTTTTTTTACTTATGTAACCCAATCAACATTCTCTACATTGCATGAGAGAGACTGATTTATGTCACACTGTCACACTTGTTTTCCTGCCTGGGGCCTCAGTCTGTGTCACAGAGCCCCCAAGGGACAAGGTGTGTCCCTGCAGGTCTTTCCATCGGGGCTTTGCTTTGGTGTCACGACGTATACATGCACATGGAAAAATGTCAAGACAACAGCACTGTCCATGTCTGACTCAGATTTCAGAGCTACATAGACTGACAGCTGCCTGGCACAGGAGGTCAACTGAAATTTTTTCCAGCTCAGGAGTGGAGGAGGTTATGCTGTACAGGCAAATAGGATGACCTCACCAGCAGTAAGCAGAGTCATGCCTGTGCAAATGCTGTATGGCCCATGTACTGCCAGCAGCCGGAGTCTGTGCTCAAATTGACAGACAGTCTATTATGTTGCGGCATAAAGCATTTTAATCATTAATTAGCAATGTCGCCACTGTGGTGCTGACATTGGAGCTAAAATGGCTTCCTGCTCTGAACAGTGTGTTGGTGCTTCATGAGAGTGTGAAACTGGGGGGGGGGGGGGGGTGGGTCTCCTGTCCATTGTCTCCAATTATGTTTAGTTGACATGCACCTGGGTCTCAGTGTTTGCTGAAGTTATTCGGTCAAACCAGCACTTGCAACAGGAAAAAAATAATTATAATTCCACAAAGGCTTGTAATTTCCTGTCCTTCCTAATCCAGATTGAGTCTAACATATATTATTTCATATAAGGATTATGCAAGTCACACGCATGCAGACTGAAACCGCCATTTGCCCTGTCGTCATGTGCTCTCCTGTCGTATTAAGAAGAAATGATTAGGAGAGTTTGCCTGCTCTGCTGTTTGTGTGGCCTTAAGTGTCCCGTGGTAGCGGCCCCCCATACACTGTGGGGGCGGTAGCAGGGTGCATCCTCACACAACAAGGAAACATTGTTTTAAGGATGTGTGTATTTATAGATGATGTACATAAAAATAGACTAATTTAAAGAGTAAAAGAGGCAGGGCTGGTGGAGATTATGTAGATACCATCTAAAGTCTGTGCTATAGGAATGGGGCAATGTTTCTCAAGAATGATGCCGTTGATGTTTTTGTGCCTTTGACATTTGACAGTTATGGGGATCCCATTACAGTGGGTGTGTGGGCTATTGTGGTTTAGAATAGCATGCATTAACAGGAATTACAGTGTACGCACGTTCACCATCTTGGAACAAGCTGGCGGAGAGACAAAAAAGTCATGCTTGTCGAAACGGTGCCCTTATGTCAATATGCTGCCACAGCCGTGGGCGTAGGGCTGCCTTAGAGATCCAACTGAAGTACCCTTCAAGGGTACGTAACCGAAACTGCCCCACAGCGTATCGAGCAGCTTGTGGATAAAAGTCACTCGACCAAAACATGGTGGTTTTGTTAAACTTTCAGAAAAGAGTTCCACTTTGTACCTTTGCTGTCATTGGGGATGTACCCTGAAGGATCTGTCAATTGTACCTTTTTAAGGTACAGAAATGGACTCTGAGGAACATCCCCAAGGTGCAAACAACATTTAATGTTTTGTACAATCAATGGTACAAAAATGTTCCTCATATACAAGGTACCATTACCTACAACTAAGGGTACAATTGGCAGACCCTTGAGGGTATAGGCCCGCTGACAAGCAAAGGTACACATAGGAACATCCCCTGTGTTTTCCCACCACCCACTGCAGCTGGGCGCACAGACCTTCTCAGGGAGCTGTCGACGTTTGTCCCGTGTGTGTGCGTGTGTGTGTGTGTGTGTGT